TTTATTAATTTAACCCAATTGGTTAACCCATCTCAACCTAAATTGCCTAGTATAATTCCTTTTCCAATTCTAATATTTCCAAACCCAATTGAATAACTCAATGCAACTTGAAAATATATGACAGTTCATGCTTCTTGTTTTTTATAAAATTGCTGTTGGACTTGCTGGAGGTGTATGACATATGTATTTATTACAATTGGTTACTACATATTATTTTTGTTGCATTATATGTTAATATATTTATTTGTTTGAGTTGTTTTAAATATTTATACTTTTATTTATCAAGAAAAAATAAAATAAAATTTTATATATTTAACATTTGATTGGGATTTCATGTACTATGGGAATCTATTATTCTCCGTGAGTATTGGGAGGCTGTTTTTGACCCTAACTAAAATTCTTTATAAAAAACCCCACACTTATCATTAGTAGGAATGGGGATAAGGAGGGGTCCTCATCCAACGGGACTATTGCCATCCTTAATTTTTTGTATAACGATTTGAAACTAATAATTAATAATTTTGTTTAATTTAATAATTAATAATAATTATTATTTATTTAAATATACTTATTTATTATATTAAATGAAACTTTTAACCAATATACAAAACACTCCGTTGAAGTTACTGGTCTTTGTAATCTTACAATCATCAAAATATGCATCAACAAGGAGTTGAATCAAGTGGTAAGCAGTTTGTTCCAGTTTAAGAAAGGTCTCGAGTTTGAGTCCTTGTGTATAGCAGTCCCCGCTGAAAGACTCACCCACCATTTTTAGGTGCGCGACGCGAATCGAGTCCGGATTAGTCGGGGCGAAACCCAGATACCGGACGGAAAACCAAAAAAAAAAAAATCATCAAAATATGCTGCTGACTCTTTTTATTCGGGATACTACATTATAAGCATGTTATATCATTTGCAGATTAATTACGCATCAAAGGTTTAAATCATTATCCTCTATAAATAGGATCAATTAACAAAAGTTTATTAAAATGCAACATAAATAGTCGATTCATTTTTTTTAAAAAAACAATATTACAATAATTCCTACCATATTAATGGGGGAGTGGGATTTTTAGGTGTACGACGCGAGTTGAATCCAGATTAATTGAGACGAAGTCCCGCGTATGGGACGGGAAACCAAAAAAGAAAAAAAGGAAAAAAAAAGGGGAGTGGGAAATGAAGAATTCGAATACTCGAACCTTCAACCCAAATGATATTCCCACAAAAACCTGTAACAAGTCACTAAACCCAAAGGTGAGGAACAA